TCACTTCTATTTAACATAGTGGAATCCTAGCTAAAGAAATTAGGGAGGAAAAAGAAATGAAAGGCCACCAAACTGGAAAGGAAGAAGTAAAATTATCTCTGTTCACAGATGGCATGGTCTTATACATAGAAAATCATAAAGATTCCACACACACGGGGCACCTGGGTGGCTTAGTTGGTTAAGTGTCCAACTTTGGCTCGCGTCATGATCTCATATTCCATGAGTTTGAGCTCTGTGTTGGCCTCTGTGCTGACAGTTCAGAGCCTGAAGCCTGCTTTGGATTGTGTCTCCCTCTCTCTCTGCACCTCCCCTGCTCTCTCTCTCTCTCTCTCTCTCTTTCAAAAATAAACATTAGAATTTTTGAAAAAACAAGGTTCCATACATACAAAAAATCTGTTAAAATAAACAAAGTCAGCAAAGTTTCAGGATACAAAATCAACATACAAAATCCAATGAGTTTCTATACACTACTAATGAACAATCCAAACAGGAAATTAAGAAAACAATTCCATTTACAATAGCATCAGAAAGAATAAAATACTTAGGAATTAGCCAAAGAGATTAAAGACTTGTACAGTGAAAATTATAAAACATTGTTGAAAGAATTAAAGACACAAATGAATGGAAAATCATCCCATTTTGATGGATTAGAAGATTTTAAATTATTAAAGTATCAACACTCATCAAAGCAATCTACAGATTTAATGCAATTTCCATCAAAATTCAGGAGCATTTTATGCAGAAATTAAAAAATCCATCCTAAAATTCATATGGAATCTCCAGGGACCCCAAATAGCCAAAACAATCTTGAAAAAGAAGAAGAAAGGAGATGCCTGGGTGGCTTGGTCAGTTAAGCCTTCCACTCTTGATTTCAGTTCAGGTCATGATCTCACAGTTAATGGGTCCGAGCCCTGTATTAGGCTCTGGGCTGACAGTGTGGAGCCTGCTTGGGATTCTCTCTTTCTCCCTCTCTCTCTGCCCCTCCCCCCAATCAAACGCATGCATACACATGCATGCACTCTCTCTCTTTCCCTAAATAAACAAATAAACTTAAAAAAAAACAAAGGAGAACAAAGTTGGAGATCTCACATTGATTTCAAAACTTACTACAAACGTACAGTAATCACAACAGTGTAGTATTGACATAAACACGGATATATCGACCAATAGAATAGAGAGCCCAGAAATAAAAATCTCACGTTTATGGTCAAAGGATTTGGATGAGAGAGCCTAGACCATTCGATGGGGAAAGGACAGACTTTTAAATAATGCTACTGAGAAAACCGTATACCCACATGCAAAAGAACGAAGTTGAACCCTTACCTTAAACATATATACCTCTACTGCTACCACCCTGATCCAGCCACCATCTGGTTTTTCTTAAACAACTTTATATTAAGATATAATTCAGAACACATAAAATTCACCCTTTTAAAGTCTCCATGTCATTGGTCTTTAGCATATTCCTACAGTTGTGCAGCCATCATCACTAATTTTAGATTTTCATCACCCACAAAAGAAATCCGGTACCCCATTCAAGTTCACTACCCATTTCCCATCCCAGCCACCACCCTAGTCCTAAGCAACAACATAACTGTTTCTATCTACCAACATTTCTTGACCGGGTTATTAATATAGCTTCCTAACTGGTTTTCTAATTTGCCCCCTACAGATATTCTCAATGTAGCACCCAGAATGACCCTTTTAAAATGTAAACCACATTATGTCACCCTCTGCTCAAAATCCTCCCGTGGGTCTCTATTTCACCGAAAATAAAAGCCAAAGCTTTCCAGTGGCCTATAAACCTTAAAAAATTGTGGACCCTCATCTCACTGATGTCATCTCCTATATCTTCCACAGCCTGTGTAGTGGATGATTCCTCTTTCCGGAATGTGTTTCCACCAGGTAACTGCAAGGCTCACTCTGTCACCTCTCTCACATCTTTGCTCAGAAGCCACATTCTCAGTTATGTCTTGCAATGTTTAGTAGTCACCCCCAATACTCTCCTCTTTTTGTCCCTGCTCTATTTTTTTCAACAGCATTTATCTTCTAATACACTATAGACCTTACTCTCCCTGCTGCATTGTAAGCACTTTATGAACAGGGACCTCTGCTGCTCTGTTCACTGATGTATCGTCAGCACTTGCAAGTGTTTGCCATGTGGTGGAAACTCACTAAACGAGTCTTGTTGAACAACGGAATAAACAAATGACCAGAGCATTCCGGACAGAGGGAAGAGCCAGTGTGAAAGGAAAGAATGCCAGAGTGGAGTGGCTACAATATGTTGAGGGGAGGGGACAGAGACAAAGATAGGGAAGGAAGCTAGGAGACTGCTGACCACTCTTTCCCTGTGCCCCCACCTGAAAAGTTCAGAATTCTCCTCTTATATCTCTGTCTCCTTTAAGCAACCCCCCCCCCCCCCGCGCTTCCTGCTTCCTAAAATGTTGACTGATGTTTTCCGAGTTTCCCTTCCCAGCAGCAGTCTCCCTTCTTGCTCTATCCCCTCCAGGGCTCAGGGAGCTTTTCCATGGCTATCACTTCACAGTGATAGCACATGGCTAGCACTTCTGCAGTGCATTGCTCCTCAATTCTTGCATCCAGTCCAAACTCATCTTGTCAGACCTAAACCCCAAAAACCTACTAGCTACTGGATTTCTCCACAGGGAGTTCCCTAAAGCACTTCAAGCTCTGAAGTGCCCTTCCCCCAATCTTCTTTTTCTTTTAAATTTCCATCCCCTTGAGAAATCCTGCATCACCTAAACCGGAAATCTGAGTCATCCCATCTTCACTCACATTCAGGCATCCTGGGACCCATCAGTTCTGTTTCTTTCAGAGCTCCTGGAGCCATCCTTCCCCCACATCCCCATGTCTACTGCTGTCCTGGTCAGGTCCTCACTCTTTGTCACCTGGACTCATTCAATAACCTCCTCAGTGCTCCCTTAGAATCTGCTAATCCATCCTCCACGTGGTCACCTGTGGGCTTTTTCAAACACATGCCTGCTTCCATTAACTGTCCACTAAAAACCCATTAATAACTCCTCACACCCTGCAGGATTACCTCTATGTCCCTTCCTGACATGCTTTTAGTTATATTATCTCTCTTCTGTCCAGAGGAGAGAGATGGCTCCTAAGCTTAATTAGAGCAAAAGCTAAAGTTCTTACTATGTTCTATATTTACGGTGCTTCTCCAACTCCCTTTGGCAAGGGACAAAGTTTCTTTTTTAAAGTTGCAATCCATTGTGGAGGGGCGCCTGGGTGGCGCAGTTGGTTAAGCGTCCAACTTCAGCCAGGTCACGATCTCGCAGTCCGTGAGTTCGAGCCCCGCGTCAGGCTCTGGGCTGATGGCTCGGAGCCTGGAGCCTGTTTCTGATCCCGTGTCTCCCTCTCTCTCTGCCCCTCCCCCGTTCATGCTCTGTCTCTCTCTGTCCCAAAAATAAATAAACGTTGAAAAAAAAAATTTTAAGTTGCAATCCATTGTGGATGATACTTTTATAAAATACAATTGAAACATTGCTACAATGTGAAATTTTATTAAAGTTTCTAAACATTCATTCTGGACTTTCTTAAAATTTATCTTGCCTCAGATGATATTTTGAGTAACATCGCTTTACAAGGCCCTACATAATCTGGCCCTGCTATTCTGTAATGTTTTCTCTTACTGTTCTTTCCTTCCACCCCTGCTCACCCTGCTTCCCCCACATTGGCCTCCTTGCTGTTTCCTATAACATTCCAAAGCCCTCAGGATCTTTGTGCTTGCCATTGTCTCTACCTGAAATGCCATTCCGGAAGCTATCCTTAAGCTCACTTTCCCAATTCACTCATGAGTTTGTTCAACTATCCCTTACCAGAGAGGCCTTCCTAACAATCCCATATAACATATCAATCCTCAATGCTCTCTCCTCTTTCTCTTCACAGCACTTATCTTACTTTGATATGTTATATGTTTATTGTCTTCCCCTCACCCCCACCATCCAACTAGAATCTGGACTCCGTATGAGCCAGAACTTCTTTATGATTTCTGCTGTATCCACAGGGTTTAGCATCGTGCCTGGCACATAATTAGCACTTGAATGGATGAATGTCTCCAGCTTCCATCACCATGATCTCCAGCCCTACCTAATCAGTTATAATTCCCAGATCTGGCCATTATACTTTCAGGTTTCTGAGCCTTTTGAAGTGCCCAGTTTTGCCTGGGAATGTCCTTCCTGAGGAAACACCTCTCAAGAGCTGGGTTAAATGTCTCCTTTTCTGTACAGCCTTCCACAGAACCACCCTTCCCTCATATAGTTGATCCCTCCCACTCACTGAATCATAACTATCTTTTCTGTGTACATCTCCCTTATTGGATTGAGAACTCCCTGAGGACATGGATGTTTTGGATTCATCTTTGTATACCAGGATCCTAATGGGGCCTGAGGTTGAGCAGGGGCTCCATAATTTTGATGAAGAGTTCTCAAAGCTATTCAAATGAAAGGAGTTGCTTCAAGTGGTTAGTTCTCTGAGACAAGAAATGTTCCAAGAGGCTGGATGAAGTCCCTTGGGGACACTCCAGGGGGCCTCCTGACTGGGGGTGGGGGGGGGAGGTTTATTTATCTGTCCCCATGATTCTCTGCATCTGTGGTCTGGTAACCTGTGTAACTCTCCCACCAATGTTACTTTGCATCCTTCATCCCTACCTGTGTGGCTCTAGATACTAGAGGGAAGCAGATCAGTGGGTTGTGGTTATTTATATCCCCCTCCCTTCCTTCTCCCAGCTCCTCTGTGAGGCAAGTGTATAGCTCTCTGATGGATGTGGCTGCCTCCTCGATGTACAGAAGAGACTCCTAGAAGGAACAATACCTCTTGGTCGATGCCCTGGGTCTGTGAAATAGTGTGGTTTGGAGGGCACATGTGGTTAATTGCCCTGTGAAAGGTCTGAGAGGCTGTGAAGGGTCTAAGCTGTTATCCTATTTGCAATTCAAAGATCCAGCCAGCAAAAAAAAAAAAAAAATCCAGCCAGAAACAATTATACACACATTTACTAACATAATGATCAGATCTCTGGTTCAGACACAGAATGTTTAATGACAGCATCTTGCAACAGTCCTCTGTGCCCAAATTCCCCGATGACACAGTGAAAGCCAAAATACCTGTGTGTGCCAAGGGGCTTTACACAGCAGAAGAGAAACCCTGGAATTATGAAACCCAGAGCTTATGTAGGACAGGTGGCATAGCTGTCCCTTCTCCCGGGAGGGTGGGAGAGATAAAGAGAGAGAGAATAAGTAAGTGGCTCCAGGTTTTATTGCCATTGACAGGGGGAGAAGCTGGCTCTTGGAAAGTGCACCACAGAGGAAACATGCTGTAACTTGCTAGGCACGTTTATCACTCAGATATCCTTTAACTCAGGTACAGTAATCTCCTCAGAAAGCTGGATTGCACAGAAACCTCTGTTTCTCACACACAGCCTAGACAGGCAATATTCCCTGCCCCTTGCACCCTTGAAGTTCTATTCTTAGGATGAAGAAAGTCTAAATATAATGGATTCCACATTCAGCTCTGTGCCTAGCACATCACAACACCCAGTACACACATCTGTTGAGTAAATGACATGAATCGTTGTTTCAGGTTTTAATGAACATGGGGCAGAGGGTTGGTTGATTAAGACGTTCTGACGAGGCTTCCCAGCAGCCAGGGCAATCTGAGCCAATTCATTAGTCTCTCCTGGGCTTTAGGCGAAGCCCCCCGCCCTTTGAAGCACCGCGAGGGTTCCGGACATCCCCACAGCCAAGGCCGAACGCGCACAGGCTTGGACCACGCCAGAGTTCATCGGGTCTTCTTGGTATTTGGGGGCTTCAGGGTCCATAAAGGGATTCCCGTCCAGTGTCAGGTTACTCACCTTGGGCAGCTCTTCTAGCCCCGGCACTCTGTTCAGCCTGTTGCACCTAAGATCTAGCACGCTGAGCTTGGCCGGCAGTCCCTTAGGCACCTGCTCCAGCCCAGCGAACGACAAGTTGAGAGAGTTCAGTGTGCTGGGCCAGACACATCCAGGAGCGCCTGGGGCGGTGGCGCGCAGCGAGTTGTGGCTGAGGTCTAGGCTGTGGGGTTGCACACCCGCCGCCGCCATGGCCACGCACACGCCGTTGGGCGTCTCCATCCCCGCGTTGCGTAAAGCCAGAGCCCGAAGGGCCGGGAATTTGTGCGGACAAAGAGCTGCAGTCAGTCCGTCCTCGCCCAGTCCGGGATTGTCGGATAAGTCTAAGGTGGTGAGGGCCGGAAAGGTGCGGAGTTGGGAGCAGGGAAAAGCAAGCGAGTGTGCTTGCGCAATATTCAGTACTTTGAGGCCCGGCTTGAGCCACTGCTGTAGTTCCGCGAGCCAGGCACCTCCGGTTGCCCACGACACGTTCCGGAGACTGAGGGTGGAGAGCGCAGGCCCAGTGGCTTCCAGAAGAAGCGGCGGCATCGCGCCGGTTACCTCCAGGTTCTGGAGCGTCAGTTCCTTGAGGCGGGAATATGAGAGCGCACGCAGGAAGGCGACCAGCAGCACAGCAGGAACCTGTGCAGAGCCCACTGTGAGCCGCCGCAACCGCAGAGCCTTGACCATGTCAGCATACTGCTTCGGGTCGGCGTCTGCGCCCTTTAGAAATTGTTCCAGGCTGCGGCCGCCGCCGTGGATCTCCACCTCGACGGCAGCCATACACTGGAAGGCGCTGGACCAGTCGGGCTGAGGATCCGTGAAGTTGCAGAAGCAGCGGACATCGTCGTCGTCCACTTCGCAGGGTTCTGGTGTGGTCTCAGAGACGCACAGCATTGGCAGCAGCAGCAGCAGCAAGCAGGGCGCGCGCACCTGGGAAGAGAGCGGAGGTCAGGGCGGCCCCAGCTAGTCCCTGGGGTTCTTCGAGTAGTTCCCTTTCGTCCCCAAGACCGTACACTCACCATGGTCGACTGGTGCTCGGAGACTCTGTCCTGGCAAGCTCAGGGAAGGGCTCTGGCTTCTTTCCCTGTGTAGCGGCACTCCCTGGTTTCTAGGCTCCCCACACGTTAATCTGTCCTCTTTGGCGGCCTCTGAGAGTTTATGTAACCCTGGGGTGTCACTCTGTTACTTCCTTTGTGAACCCTGGTCACTCTCCACCTCTCTGCCACCCAACCGTTCTATGCACTACGGTTCTGGGAAATTTTGCAATGACGGATTTTGCCAGGAGAGGGACTTTTGCGGGAAGGAAATTGTAGGGCGTCTGGAGTGCAATGCTCCAGGCAGTGCCCTGATGAGTCAGACACCCCAGGCTGGTTTGATAGTTATTGAGAAAGAAGGATCCCCAGTGCCGCAGGCTAGGACTCTTACCTTCCTCTGCCTCTATCCCAATGACTCAACTGGGGTAGTTTGCTTAACTTTTCTCTAGTTTTGGTGGCTACTATGAACTTACTAACACACCCAAATCCAATCACCTGAATATCCTCGGATATATAATTGGATATTTTGTGGAAGGCATTGCAAATTTCATCTGTTGACTCCAAGGGATAGGATGAGGTTCGAGAGAAGGAAGTAGGTCTGAACAACAACTCTCTTCCTTTTTTTTTTTTTTCTGCTGACTTGTTCTTTTTAAAACTTTATTAAGAAAGTAATAGCTTTCTTAAAAGTAGAAAGAAGTGTTTAACAGAGACACATTGGCCAAGTAGCTCCATCTCTTACAGTTTCCATGTTCTTATCCTGAAATTGAGAAACAAGGCATTTCTAACCCAGTTTGCCCCTTTGCACCTAGCTCTCCCCTCCCTTCCCCCCAACACAATTCCTGTGTCCTAGAAAGGAAAGGCTGGACCAATGTTGAATGAGGATTAATTAGTAACCTACCTGTTTTGCCAAGAAAAAAAAGCAAGTGTCCCAGAGGGTGGTGTAGGGGCTATGCCTCTATAACTGCCCTCGCAGTTCTGCACCTGTGGATTCTGGGGAAAGAGCTATACAAAAAAAATGTTTGAATTCTCACTTCTCCTATTTTTCAGGAATGGCTTCACATCTGTCCTCATTCCAAACAGGGAGGCTTCATCAGGCCAGACTGCTCTCTGTGTGCCTTGTTGGTCATGCCCTTATACCCTGAGCCATGCCCCAAAGCCAGGCCAGGTCACTGGTGCATCCTTGAGGACCAAGATGTGAGTATAGCTCAGTGTTGAATACACTGACTCTGCAGTCAGACAGCCAGGCTTGGAATCCCAGCTCTACCACTGAGGTTGTAAGATTTGGGCAAGTTTCTGGGCCTCAGATTTCTGCGCTCCTGCTTTGTAAAATGGACCTAATGGTAGTACCTGTCTATGACTGCAGAGCCACATCTATTAGAGTACTCCTGATTGTTATGTTCTTCATCAAAGCCTCTGCATTCAGAAGACTCAGGCCACTGAAGCCTGGCTCCTTAGCAAACCCCATCATTTTGGGGAAAGCACTTTGTGTGCAAATGAAGAGGGGCAATGATGGTTTGCAAAGATCCCCAACTCACACCTTGATTCAACAAATATCTATCATTTGTCTACCAAATGTCAGGACTGGTACAAAACCCGGGGATGCAGACATGGTCATCACACAGTCCCTCAAGTACTCCAGGAACTGGAAGAGGCAAACACAGACCCAGAGCTACAGTTCATAGAGAAGAGGACTCAGAGGGGAGAAACCAAGGACTTGTGGGAGCTGTGGAGAAAGGAACAGTGAGCTCTGTATTAGAGAGGACATGGGACTGTTGTTTACAGGACTGACAGTCTTGTTGGGCAGATAAGTGCAAAAAAAATCAGGGTGGGCAGCTGTAACTCTCTGAGCAGACATTTTGCCTGGTGACTTGTCTTACCTTCGCCACCAGGAGAAATATGTAGGTGTTAAAAGCAGCCTGTCCCATGACAAAGGAGATAAGACCCAGACCCTACCTCCAGCCAGAGCATGGTGCATAGCAGGTGCTCAGTAAATGGTTGTCCCGGAGCTGGATGGATGTTGAACCTGGAGAGATGTGGGGGCAGGATGATGGTCTGCAGATATTTAACTAGGTGATTTGTGGAAGAGATTGAAGGCAACTGACTCCAAGAGATGAAATTAAATTCTGGGGAAGGAAGTTGGTTTGAAAGTGCCAAATCTTAACCACTAGACTACCAAAGGAAGTTGGTTTGAAGCACTGTTCCCTTTCCTGGATTTGCTCTTTTATTTGCCTAAGTAATAGCTTTCTAAAAATTAGAGGCCTCCAGGGAAAGCTATTAGGTAAATGTTTTATAAATTACTGTTTCTCATTTTCAGTCATACCTAATGATTTCAGTAGGCTAATGTCCTGTCGTCTTAGGTACACATCAAACCTGGCACACATTAGAAATCATACAAAGTCCTGGATAGTTTTCATTTAACTAATCGATAGAAAAACACTTATTTTCCTATTGTAAGTGTGAAGCTTTTTGATTGTTAATAAAAGAATCTACCAACCATCAACAAAATAAAATAAAATAAAAATAAAAATTGGAGGCCTCCAATAGAAATTTTTAAGTGCTACCAACACTCTACTTTCTTGGAATTTTGAAGGAGAGGAGACAACATCAAACAATTACACTGTAACTTAATGACAGCTGTGAAAAGGGTTATGAAGTATACATTGTTATAGGCTCTCATGACAGGGACGCAGGTACAGTAGTTCTGAGTAGGGGACACTGTAATTGAGATCCTGAGGGTGGTGTTAATTAAGGGAAGGGTGCTTATTGGGGGTGGTGGAGCAGAGACAGGGCTCTAGGGAGGGTAACAGCCTGTACAAAAGCCTGGAGAATGAAGAAAGCAAGGGCTTGGAACAAAGAGAAGATCCCAGGAGAGATGAATTAGTTGAGGCTCCCTTCCATTGAAAACTGGAGAGGTATGCAGGGATTAGACCATGCAAGGCTTACTTGGCCACAATTCAGATTTCAGAGGTAAGGAACACAGTTTTTAAATTCCCCAGTGTTTCCCCAGTGCCTGGTAGTTAATGGCACTCAAAATTTGGTTTAAGAATTACTTAGGGGGGGGGGGGGGGGGGGGGGGGGGGGGGGGGGGGGGGGGG